ACTGATATATATATATAGAATTTTTCATCCCAAAGAAGCAAAAATACACATTCTTTTCAAATTTACAAGGAACAGTTTCAAAGATAGACCACATGATAGGACACAAAACAAGCCTCAACAAATTCAAGAATATTGAAATAATATCAAGTATTTTCTCTGACCACAAAAGACTGAAACTAGAAATGAACTTCAAGAAAAAAACTCAAAAACTCTAAACTTCATGGAGATTAAATAGCATGATATTAAACAATGAATGGGTTAAGAATGAGATCAAGGAAGAAATCAAAAAGTTTCTTGAAACAAATAAAAATGAACTCACAATGACCCAAAACTTATGGGTCACAGCAAAGGCAGTCCTGAGAGGGAAGCTCATAGCAATACAGGCCTACCTAAAACATACAAACATTTTAGATGAACAACCTAACCCTACATCTACAGTAATTAGAGGAGCAACAACAGAGACAGCCCAGAGCAAGTAGAATGAAGGAAATAACCAAGATCAGAGCAGAATTAAATGACATAGAGACTAAGAGAAGAATTCTAAGGATCAACAAAATCCAGGAGCTGGTTCTTTGAAAAGATAAACAAAATTGACAATACTTTAAGCAGACTCATCAAGAAAAAAAGAGAAAGGTCCCCAAATAAACTCAATCAGAAATAAGAGGAGAGATTACAACTGATACCACAGAAATACAAAGGATTGTAAGAAATTACTACAAAGAACTATATGCCAAGAAATTTGAAAACATAGGTAAAATGGACAAACTTCTATAAAAATATAATCTTCCAAAACTGAATGAGGCAGGAAGCCTGAACAGACCAATAACAGCTGACGAAATTGAAACTGTAGTAAAAAAAACTCCTGACCCACAAAAGCCCTGGATCAGACGATTTCACAGGAGAATTTTACAAATCATTTAAGGAAGAGGTAATCCCCATCCTTCAGAGACTATTCCAAAAAATCCAAGAAGATGGAAGATTCCCAAATTCTTTTTATGAAGCCAGCATCATCCTAATCCCAAAACCAGCTAAAGACAATGAAGAAAGAAAACTACAGGCTGATATCGATGGTGACAGATGCTCAAATCTCAACAAAATATTGGCAAACTGCATCCAGCAATACATTAAAAAGATCATGCACCATGATCAAGTGGGATTCATCCAGAGATGCAAGGATGGTGCAATATTCACAAATCAATAAACATATTACATCACATAAACAAAAGAAAAGACAAAAAAATCACATGACCCTATCAACAGATGCGGAAAAAGCATTTGATAAGGTACAGCCCCCTTTTATTACAGCACCCTTTTATGATAAAAACACTCAGCAAAGTGGGAACAGAGGAAGCATTCCTCAACATAATAAAGGCCATACATGAGAGACCTACAGCCAACATCATACTTGATGGGCAAAAACTAAAAGCATTCCCTTTAAGACCAGGAACAAGACAAGGATATCTGCTTTTACCACTTTTATTCAACATAGTATTGAAAGTCCTAGCTACAGCAATCAGACAAGAAATAGAAATAAAAGGCATCCAAATTAGAAAGGAGGAAGCAAAACTGTCATTGTTTGCAGATGACATGATAGTGTACATAGAAAACCCTATAGACTCCACCAAAACAATACTCAACCTAATAAATGAATCTGGCTCAGTAGTGTGGTACAAAATCAACATTCAGAAACTGAAGGCATTTTTGTACACCAAAAATGAAATATGAGAAACAGAAACCAAATCCCATTTGATAGAACAAGAAAAGTAAAATACCTAGAAATAAACCTAACCAAGGAGGTAAAAGACCTGTGCTCAGAAAACTACACAACACTGAAGAAATAAATTAAGGAAGATACGAAGAAATGGAAGCATATACCATTTTCATGGATTGGGAGAATTAACACATCAAAGTGTCCATACTGCCCAAAGCAATTTATAGATTCAGTGCAATCCCTATTAACGTACCAATGACAAATTTTGCAGATATAGAACAAACACTTCAAAAATTTATATGGAACCATAAATATCCCTGAATAGCTGCAGCAATTTTGAGAAAGAAGAACAAAGTAGGAGGGATCACAATACCTGATATCAAACTGTGTTACAAGGCTACTGTTATCAATACAGACTGATAGCCTGGTACTGGCATAAGAACAAACACATAGACCAATGAAACAGAATAGAGAGCTCAGAAATAAGTCCAAGTCTCTATGGTCAATTAATATTCAACAAAGGGGGAAGAAGCATAAAATGGAGTAAAAATAACCTCTTCAACAAATGGTGCTGGGAGATCTGGACAGCTACATCCAAAAAAATGAAAGTCAATCACCAACTTATACCATACGTAAAAATAAATTTAAGGTGGATAAAAGACTTAAAATAAGTTGTGTCACCATAAAAGTCCTACAGGAGAACATAGGCAGGAAAATCTCAGATATTCCACACAACAATATTTTCACTGATATGTCTCCTAGAGCAAGGAACATAAAGGAAAGAATAAACAAATATGATCTCATAAAAATGAAAAGCTTCTGCACAGCTAAAGAAAACAGCATTACAATGAGAAAGGAAAACCAACTGTATGGGAAAACATAGTTGCCAATGATACCTCAGACACGAGTGTTATCTTCAAAATATATAAAGAACTCACACTACTCCACTCAAGGAATACAAAAAACCCAATTAAAAAATGGGCAAAGGACTTGAACAGACAATTCTCCAAGGAGGACATAATAAAGGGTCCAGAGACACATGAAAAGATGCTCAGCATCACTAGCCATCAGAGAGATGCAAATTAAAACCACAATGAGATACTACTTCACACTTGTCACAATGACCATCATAAACAAATCAACAAGCAAGTGTTGGAAAGGATGTGGAGAAAAGGGAACCCTAGTGCACTGTTGACTGGTGGTAGGAATTAAGACTGGTGTAGCCACTATGGAAAACAGTATAGAATTTCCTCAGAAAACTAAAAATAGAACTGCTTTTTGACCTGGCGATTCCACTGCTGGGATTATACCCTAAGAACCCTGAAACTCCAGTTCAAAAGATCCTATGCACCCCAATGTTCATAGCAGCACCATTTACAATAGCCAAGTGCTGGAAGCAACCTAAGTGCCCATCAGTAAATAATTGGATCAAACAACTATAGTACATTTACACAGTGGAATTCTATGCAGCAGAAAGAAAGAGCTCCTACCCTTTATGACAGCATGGATGGAACTGGAGAGCATTATGCTAAGTGAAATAAGCCAGGTGGTTGAAAGACAAATACCATATGCCCTTACCTATAAGTGGAACCCAATCGACAAAACAAACAAGCAAGCAAAATATAACCAGAGACATTGAAATTAAGAATAAACTGACAGTAATCAGAGGGGAGGTGGGAGGAAGGGGGAAGGGTTTTTCAAGAACATGTATAAAGGACACATGGACAAAACCAAGGGTGGGTAGGATCAACAGTAGGAAGCGGGGATGGCTGGGGTGGGGGTAAAATGAAGACAATTGTACTTGAACAACAATAAAAAAACACATAAAGAAACTCAAAGAAATACAAAAAATAGAAATAAAGTTACTTTTTCACTTGTAAAAAAAAAAAAAGAACTGCTATGGTAAAGGACAGGAGCATTAGTACTGAAAGCAATTACTCAGAAAGGTGAGTTTGGCAGAGGTTTGTAGAACATATAGCTCCAGGGGAAAATATGAGAGTGCCGGAGCTACCATTCTTTATGTTTCATTCAATATTTCCAAGAATTACTATGTACACTTTGTGAGTATGTAAAGAAAGTCTGTCACCAGAGTCACCTGGCATTAAGGGCAAGGCAATGTCCACTCTAGCATTGTACGGGTATCTGTGGTATTGCTGGGGTGGGCGCAGAGATAGATGGTGCACCCACACAGCTATAGCTGGGTTACCTTTGACTCCCAACATTCATATCCATCTCTGATCTCTCCACTATCACTTACTGCTCAGGCACAAAGATTGATATCAAAATGTGCTGTTCCCTAGTTGTTCTTTATTATACATGAAAAAATGAGATATAATTTGCATCCCATAACAATTTAAAGCAAATAATTTAGTGGGTTTTAGTATATTTACAGGGTTGCAAAACCATCTCCACTAATTTCAGAACATTTTTATCAACCCAGAAAGAAATCCCATACTGTTAAACGTCACTCCCTATTTCCCTCTCTCCATAGATTCTGACAACACTTATCTACTTTGTTTCCATAGAGCTAGCTATTCTTTACATTTCATATGAATGGAATTATACAGTATAAGGCCTTTTCTATCTGGCTTCTTTCACTTAGCATTACATTTTCAAGACTCACCCATGTTATAGCATGTATCAGTACTTCATTACTTTACTTTCTGTTTAATAAATTTTAATGTTTAGTGTAGTTTTAGGTCTACATTGAAATTGAGTGAAAAAAAGATAGAGTTCCCATAAACTCATGCCTGCACATGTACTTCATTATTTTTTATAGCTGAATATATATTCCATTAGACCTCAAATATGTTGGGATCCTTTTCCATTTTATCCACAATCTGGCTGAATGGAACCGATGAGGAAATACGTTCTTGTTACGCAGCATTCCAAAGTGGCTGAGCCTATACAGGCTGTCAGCTCTGTCATTTAATAGCTATCCCGTGACTCAGTTCCTTCATCTGTAAAATGGAGCTACTAACGGTACCTACCTCACAAGGCTGTAAGGACTCAATGAGTTAACACAAATGAGAAAAGTACAGACACACAGTAGGTGTTCAATAAATGTTAGCTATGAAGAGACCAAAGTGCACTTAAGAATTTTTTTTTGAGTTATCAAAGTTGAACTATAATGTTATACTTTTCAAAAAACAATTCTGTCCCTATGAACTGTTCTTATATTTATAAAAAATATTTGTGCAAAACATTTTCTTTAGGTTGCTAACATTTTTATTCTTTTATTACTAATCATACAAAATAGATATTTTTTAAAAGTCTAATTTCTACTTACAGATTTGGAGGGCAGAGGATTTGGGCAATTATTCTTGGCTTTTAGATAGGGCCTACAGAAGACAAAATAAGATTAATTCTTAGTATAGAAGGATCACAAGGACCTGGGATATATAGTGATTAAAAATGAAATTTAAATCATTAAAATTTCTGTGTATGGTAAAATAATTCAAAACAATATTCAATGAAGTCTCCTTATTCTCCCTTCCTTAGTCCCAATATTCTTCTCCTCAGAGACCGTCACTGCTCTTACCTACTTATCTGTGATCCCTTCAGAGAGGTCTTACGTGGACACCGTATTCCAACCATACGTCTTTTCTTTATATTTGCACAGTCTTATTAATTGCAACATCATTCCTGGAACACTGTAGTGTGCTAGGCACTGCAGATACAATGCCAAACAAATTTTTAAAAACTTGTTTTAAGTATCTTCAAACAGTGAATTCTCAGGGGAAAAGGTGATATAATTAACCATCCCCCCAGGCATATATACTATCTAGCTATACAGGAAAAATACAGGAAAAATATACAGGAAACTATACAGGAAAAATTTGGAAGGATTTAACCCCCATGGATCAAAAGCAATTGCCAGGCTAACAGGCACTCTGACCATGACTTGATGTGTGTTTCTCCCAGCTTTGAATGTAAGCCCTGGAAGGGCTGGACCACTCTGTCTTTTTTTTTTTTCATCTCCCTGAGGACATGCTTATTGATTTTAGAGAGAGGGGACAAGAGGGAAAGAAACATCCATGTGAAAGAGAAACACTGATTGGTCGCCTTCTCATATGCACTCTGGGGATGAACCCGCAACCTAGGCTTGTACCCTGGACTGGGAATTGAACCCTTGACCTTTTGGTTTACTTGACAGTGCTCCGACCAACCGAGCCACACTAGCCAAGGCAGGACTGCTCTGTCTTGTTAAGCACCATGCCTTCAGAACCAACAGTGATATATTACTGCTAATAAATAAACAGTAATAAATCTGTTGAATAAATTCACTAAGTTTCTTTAATCGAGGAAATAGAGTTGAATGAAAACCCAAAGTAAAAAGAAACTAAAATAAAGGATGAAAGCTAACTGTGTAAAAATTCATTTTGTAAAAAAAGTTTAGCAACGCAGGTGGGCAGAAAATTTATTTATCAATGCTCAGAAGATAAATAACATCATTAAGATGGCAAGATATTGACAAAAGATAAAAGTGAATCGATCATATCATGTCCACCTTAAGAGTAAGTGATAAGACAGTGATTTTCAACCGGTGTGCTGCCAAGAATTTTTAAAACATGCAGTACCTGACTACTTAGGAGCACTGACCTCTTTTCCCTTAGATTGTCAAATAAAAAATGACAACAACCAACACAACCATAGCTGTCTGGTGTGAATGAATGAATAAAAATTATGCCTATTTTTTGTAAGATTGGCAAAAAATATACTTTTTGGTGTGTTGCAGAGTCTTAGTAATTAGTATATATGTGCCATGAGAGGAAAATGGCTGAAAACTGCTGTGCTCTGAGAATGACCAAAGAACACCACCAGGCGGAAGGATGTTCACGTGCAACTATGTCAGACTGAACGTTGCCTTCACAAGAATTACTTTCCCAGGAATAAAGGCAGGGACAGGAAAAGCTTCTAGCATGGTAGGTAATATTGTAGATAGATTTCTCCCTCCCTCCTTTGGAGACTATCACAACGGCAATGCTTAAGTCTTTGCCAGTGTACTAGCTACTGCCCAGAGGTTTTTGTTATGCTTGAACTGAAATGCCCCCTTGATAGGGCTTTAAATAGCTATTAGCAACCAGGACAACAAGAATCATGTAAGTGTGGGAGACAAACTCACTTGGTGTTTTGGCACTTCAGTTTTCCCTTGGCTGCTAGATACTCCTGGAGCTTTCTCTGCCGCTCTTCTGAAAAACAGACAAGCAAACAACAGAACTTCAGCTTGGGATTTTAACCAGTTTGTTTATATTTTAAAGGATGACACTTTCAAGAAAGATTTCGGCTTTGGACCATGCCTCCAAATTAATATCAACATTAACCATATCATTTATATGCCAGGTCCCATATTACGCCCTTCACACTTATATTACTTACTCTAATCTGCACACCAATCCTGTGAGGTATTTTACTGTCTGAAACGTGAAGAGGGTAAATGATTTATCCAAAGTTACCCAGCTAATTTGTGCCAAAGCCAGGATTTGAAGCCAGGTTTATTCAACCCTAGGGCCCTTGCTCACAGGCACTGTTCACAGCTACAACATATGCTTGTGTGAATCAGGTCTGTTACCGGTTCACCTGAACTGGTGAGTTAGGTCTGGTTTTATTATATTTTTTTCCAACAGGGATGATGATTTTTGTCTACAAACCCTTACTTAGTTACTTGTGGGACTAAGAACAAAATAAGCCAGGTTAGGGAGTTCATAGTAAATATCTATATAGTAATTTTCTAAGCAAGGCATTTGTAAGAGGATGAAAGTCAGTATTTCTGCTTTCAAGTTTCAGTGTAATAGTGGAGATAAACACCACAATAATTACAATACAAGGCAAAACCTAGGTGCCATAAGAGAGGGTTAAAGAAAGAATTATGGGAATTCATAGGCAGGAACTGAGGGGAGTAGGTGGTTGGAAAAGACTAAAATTCAATAGCTAAAAAAAAAAAAAAAAAAGAAAAGAAAAGAAAAAAAAAAGACTACAGGGTGCAAATCTGTTCTCCACCTCACCTAACCAGAGCTGCTCCAGTATCCCCATCTGGTTCTGATGCACACAGGTATTAAATAATAAGTCTGTTGAATAAATGCACTACGTTTATTTAATCAACGAAATACAGTTGAATAAAAACCCAAAGTTAAAAGAAACTAAAATAAAGGACGAAAGCTAACTTTGTAAACATTCCTTTTGTAAAAAAAGTTGAGCAACCCAGGTGGACAGAAAATTTATCAAGTGCTCAGAAGAGGGAATTTATTAATTCTCATGGGAGCCAGACCACGCCAGGCAGTGGAGAACAGGGGCTGCGGGGGTCTGACAGGCCGGCTAAGACCCCAGTTCTGGGACTTCTGGCACATTAACAAAGCGTTGCTGAGCCATAATATGAGGACAGAAGTGCCCAACTTTAAGGGTCGGGTCTTTAAGTGAAGCGCCCAGGACGAGTTAGGTATACAGATGTCATCACCTACACCATCCAAACACAGTAGCACACGGGAGATGGGTTTCTGGGACCCACGCCCTCGAAGCGGAGGCCAGATCCACCCCAGCCGCTGTGCAGGCTCGGGCCGGCGGGGGCCACTCAGGGCCGGGGGTGGCTGGGGGGCGCTTGGCTCCACCTGGACGCACAACCTGGGCCAACCAAGGAGGCGACTATGACGCCCCTTCAGAGCAGCTGTGGGACCTGCTGGGAAAGTGCCAGCGGGATCCTGGGATTCCCCGCGCATACTGGTGTCTCCTTTGGGCCTCAAATACCCCGACAGGGGCCCCGAGACAGGCGAGGCAGCCGGTAGCCTCTGCAGACACAGTCCGCTGCGCCCCGCTGTCTCAGAGCACTCACCCGCAGCGGCAGCCAGCGTAGACTTCGCCATACCAGCTCCTCCACGACAGTTGATTTTCAAAGGCCGCGCCGGAGCTAGGGATGAGCACGTCACCCGTGTCTGCTCGCATTGGCTGCCAAGGGTTTAAAGCCACCAATAGGAAGCGGGAGAGGGCGGGACAAGAGAAAAATATTAGCTCTGCGGTTGGCTCTGCTCAGGGCGTGGTGATGCTAGAGCTTCCGGTAACAGCATCGCTGTGTAACCTGTCAGACTCACAAAAGAATAGAATAAATCCCAAATAGATGCAGAAGAAGCATTTGACAAAATTCAGTATGTATTTCTGATTAAAATTCCCAACAAACTGGGTATAAAAGGAAAGTCCCTCAACATAATAAAGGCCATAAATGACAAGCCCCCAGCTAACATCAACTCAAAAGCTTTTCCCGTAAGATCAGAAACAAGGCAAGAATGTCCTCTCTCATCCTTTTAAGTCAACATAGTACTGCAAGTTCTAGCTAGAGCAATTAGGCATAAGTAAGTGGCAACCAAATAATAAAGGGAAAAGTAAAATAGTCGCTATTTGCAGATGATATATTATATATAGATAACTCTGAAAACTCCACCAAAAGTAAACAAACAAATAAAAAGCCTATTAGTTTCAGTGAATTTGCAAGATAGAAAGCCAATACATGAAAAAGCAGTTTTATTTCTATATACTAACAACAAACTATAAGAGAAATTAAGAGAACAACTCCATTTACAACTGTATCAAAAAAGAATAAAATACTTATGAATGAATTTAACCAAGGAAGTGGAAGATCTGTACAATGAAACCTATAAGTAAATGGAAAGATAATCAGTTCTCATAGATTAGAAGAAATACTTCCAAATTGTTAAAATGTCTATACTACCCTAAGCAATTGACAGATTCAGTGCAATCCCTATAAAAATTTTAATGGCATTTTTCACAGAAATAGAACAGTCTTGAAATTTATATGCAATCACAAAAGACTCCAAATAGCCAAACAACTCTTAAGACAGAAGAACAAAGCTGGAGTCATTGCACTTCCTGTTTCAGACTTTATTACAACACTAGAGTACTCAAAACTCTATGGTATTGGCACAAAGACATATAAATCAATGCAACAGGATAGAAAACACTACAATAAACCCGTGCATATATCATCAGTTAATTTTTTGGTGCAAGAGTCAAGAATATACATTGTAGAAAGGATAATCTTTTCAATCAATGATGTTGGGAATACTGAACAGCCACACTCAAAAGAATGAAACTGTACCCCTACCTTATGCCATACACAAAAATCAACTAAAATGGATTAAATATTTAAATTTTAGAGCCAAAGCTATAAAACTCCTTGAAGAAAACAGGGGGTAACTCCTTCACATTGGTCTTGGCAATTATTATTATTTTTTTTATTTGACACTAAGACAGAGGCGACAAGCAAAAATAAACAAGTGATACCATAGCAAATTAAAAACTTTTCTTACAGCTAAAGAAACCATTAACAAAATGAAAAGGCAACAAATGGAATGAAAGAAAATCTTTTCAAACCATCTACCTGATAAAGAGTTGATATCCAAAATATATAGAGAACTCACACATCTCAATAGTAAAAAAATCCAAATAGCTCAATTAAAAAAAAAGCCAAGGATCTGAATAGACATTTTTTAAAAGGCCATACATATGGCCAACTGATATATGAAAAGATGCTTGACATTACTAATCATCAGAAAAATGCAAATCAAAACCACAGTGAGATAGCACCTCACACATCTTAGAATGGCTGTCATAAAAAAGACAAGAGGAAACGAGGGTTGGTGAGCATGTGGAGAAAAGGAAACACTTATGCATTGTTGGTGGAAATGTAAATTGGTGTGGCCACTATGGAAAACAGCATGGAGATTCCTAAAAAAATTAACAATAGAACTCCTGTATAATCCAGGATTTACATTTCTAGGTATATATCAAAAAGCTCTTGATGTATATTCAATACCATGAGCATGGAGGTATTAAATAGATACCTGCATGCTCACGTTTATTGTAGCATTACTTACAATAGTCAGGCTATGAAAACAACCTGTGTTCAGTGGATGAATGGATAAATAAAAAAATTATTATAAAATATGTATATGCAATGGAATATTATTCAGCTATGGGAAAGAAAGATATCCTGATGTTTGTGAAAACATGGATGGACCTTGAAGACATTATATTAAGTGAAATAAGTCAGACAGAGAAAGATAAATGCTGCATGGCATCACTTATATGTGGAATCTAAATAAAAGTCAAACTCATAAAAACTTTTACTGTAAATTGTTATTCTGTTCGGCAAGTCTATAATCATTTAAAAATTCAGAAAAAAATAACATAACAAAAACCCTTATAAACCACTCAATCTCTCAGAGGGAAGGATTTTTAACATTTTGATGTGTACCTTTCTATAACCATTTAAATTTAAATTGTAAGTATTCTATCAGTTTTTAAAGATTTTATTTATTCATTTTTAGAGAGAGGGGAAGGGAGGGAAAAAGAGAGGGAGAGAAACATTGACATCAGAGAGGAACATCAGTTGGTTGCCTCTCGTAGGCACCCCAGTCTGGCATGTACCTGGACTGGGAACTGAACCAGTGACCTTTTGCCTTGCAGGATGATACCTAATCAACTGAGCCACATGGGTCAGGGTGATTGTAGGTACTTTAAATAAAAACAGTGTCACACTGTAAAATGTTTGTAACCTATTCTTTATACCCAACAATATATGGTGAAGAAAATAAAAAAAACATGACCACCAAATTACAGATGCCACAAAGCTGAGAGGAAAAGTCAATATATAAAAAATCAGAATCTTGAACAATCTAGATCTGAGACCAAATTAAGGTTAAATTTAATACAGATATATTTAAAGCTTGAACATAGTTTGAGAATTAGCCTAGGTTTTAATTGCCTTCAAACACTATATGAATCAATAATGTCACTTGCTTTCAAAAAGCTAATGTCACTTTCTAACAAAAGCATGGTGTCTAATATAGAAAGAACAAGATTCCACTTTGGGTCCTGCTGGTCTGACCATATTTTGAGTACTATATATAATTCTGGACAATAAATTTTATGAAAAATATTGGGAACATTGGTCATGACTCAAGAGGACAATTTTGACAAAAGTATGTGGTTATAACACCACCATACAGATTTGGACTCCCAACCATGATGAAGGCATAGTTAGATACATTTTGCCTCCTTGTACAAACAAACAAAAAAAGACAACAATTAAAAACAAAAAATAACCAGAACTGCTAGAAAATTGAACTCTATGGAAAGTCTGACAGCCAAGGAGTTAAAGAAGAAACATT